TAGGCACCCTAACCTCCTACAAATGGTCACGATCCTCAACAATACGACCCAAAGGACATGGGAACCACCTCATACTCAACATCACAAGTCGAATCCTCAATCTATGCACACATGTGTCCATAACATCACATAACGGCTCAAAATTCTCCTCAACTACATCCACAACATCATGAACTACCGCATCCTCCTCCTCAAGATCATCATCCCGAGCACTAGTAACACCGTTAAGCATAATCAAATCCTCAAAAGAATTCTCCCCCATACCATGCACCATATCAACTCCCGAATCCATACAATCACTCTCATCAATAGAATCAAAACTCAAAGCACTATCACCTAAAGACAGAGTTGACATACCTAATGTGGATTGCACGGCCGAATCGTCAAGAGAGGAAATTTCTTTAACAACCAAATCTTCGATGTCCTCACTAGTGTCGAGAGATTGTATTCCGTCATATACGAGAGTGAGGCCCACCTCTTTCAAGGAGGCAAACCTATCCACCATAGCTCGAAACTCGCCTTCTATCTGAGTGCTCTCTCGTATAACCCTCGCCGATAGAGAACAATATCTACGGAGCAGAGTGTGAGATGCATCCAAATCAAGGAAAGAGACCACGGTAGAGTCGAACTTCGTGAGTGTGACTTGAAAAACGGATGGAATGGGGATGCTATTCCAACTATATAACTCCTCAATGATCGACATGAGGCTTGCAAGTGCCTCTTGAGTGCTCACCAAAACCTCTTGGTGACGTTCGAAAGGTGCAACCATTGTTGGAAAAGAAGCTTCGGAAATCAATGTACAAGGTTCGCCCACTGATAGGTGTTCGTATGATGGAGAGGATGGAGCATAGGATTTGGTTTCTTCTTTCTCGGATATGGGAGCCATTGAAGCGCGAAGGGATAGATTGCACTCCTCAAATGCTCCATAATCTCATCTAGATTGACCCGAGAAGCTCCCCGAGTCGGCTCGGGTTGAGGTGTCTCCTCACAATAAACGGGAAGCGGTGGATAGAAGTGATTCGCCTCGTCGTGACTGGGAGAGTAATAACCAAAATCAACTTGAGATGGCGGGTAAGTGTGGCTCGAATATGGATAGGGCGACCCTCCATACAAGTATATCTCCTCATGATAGTTGTCAGGGTATCCACGAGACGAGCTACCGGCATAAGCATAGCCATACGGATCCATCGGAGCTCCTCAAGCGAAGTACCTCGCACAAGAACAACAAAACAACCCAAGGGCACACGAGGCAAAAGAAAAAAAAACACAAAATGCAACTAACACGACAAGATATTTACAAGAGCAGACATACTAGAAGCAAGGGAAATAGAAAATAACAAATAATCAAGAGAAACACGTAAAAACAAGCAAATCCACAAAAATCAAGAGAAACACGAAAACAAACGACAACTAAATAGTAAATTTGGCGTCCTACTCGCCTTCCCCGACAACAGCGCCATTTTGTTTGTAGTATTTTTGGGCATGTGGTAACCGAGTTACCCGACTCGGGTCATTCTCAAAGGAAGATTGTTCGGAGCTTCGTTCACTACCTAGTCGTCAAAGTCACATAACCGAAAAAAAGGTCCTACACATTCTACTCACTTGATGGGGTTGGATTTCACGAAATTACGCTAAGAAAATGGAAGCAAATGATGCAAGATGAAAATTAAGAGAGAAAGATCGAAACTTTGGTCTACCGGAATCCCCATGACTCAAGAAAAAGAAAAATAAACAAGAGAAAACATGCGAGTGTTTGTTATGTTTTTGTGTGTTTTTCTTGTGTTTTTATTTCCTTGAGTCGAGTCTTTTTTAGGTTCCGTTTGTGCGCCCCGGTCCATTTTGTGTTCATTTTTATTAGCTTTTTATTTTTGAGTCGTTTTCGTATTCTTGTCTATTTCTTTTGTGCGATTTGGTGTTTTGTAGGTTTGGAAGGAAAGAATTGTCGCTTCGTGATTTGCCATCCCGAGTGTTTCATCTTCA